AAAAAAAAAAAAAAACAGGGGATCTCATGGAATACTGCCAAGGAAAGCTTTAAATTCTTCTCTAATATTGTTAGGCCCGAATCCCACTTGGGCCTAATACTCTTTCCAGCCTACTTGCTATCACCTTCGTATTGCCTTAGTATCGCCTAGCTATTCTCACACAAAATAACGACTTTGTCCTTTCCGCATTGCTAGCTGGCCACGATCAGGAAGTGTATAAACTCTATTTTTCATTTGCTTGGGAGGCATGAATGAAATACAATCGAATTTCCTTTTCTCTGTTTTCTGCAAATTTCCTTTTTCGGATCTAAGGTTCTACCATTTGGTATCTAGAGCATGTTTCGTGCCATGGGGAGGAAAGGACAGTCGACCACTTCCATGGAGGTTGCTGCCATCCAAGGACGGAACCATGAATTTTTCAGTGGGTGGGCTAGTTAAAATTTTTAGCTTAAAATCTAAATAAAAAAAATCTTACCTAATCCCTAAAAATTTCTTGCCATCAATCGAATAAGCTTCACAAATACAAAGTGCAAAAATATAAATAATTAAGTTTTATTTATATATTAATTGTAAACACAAGAATAATAGAATTGAGTTAACATATTGTTCCATTCTTGAAAGAGAATACAAATAAAATTGAGAAAATAATATTTCCCTAATGTGTTGTAGTTGATGGTGAGCCATATAGGCTTTTTTTTTTTTTTTCTTATTCAAAAACCTTTTGTCAAAGGCAGCAAATAATTTCATAAAAAAAAGAAAAGAAAAAGGCTGCAGACATAAAAAAAACAAAAAAGAGACATCAGACCTAGTAAAATAAAATAAAAATTCAAAATCGAGGCAACTTCAAAATCATGAAAATTCCAAAGGCACAATTCCACCATGTTACCAGCATCATTCACCCATTTTGAAAATGAGTTCTTGTTTAGTTTTTACGTAACAGTAATACCAAGGGAATCAAAAGTTTATATGAATACATCAATGATTATAATCGGTGCAAAAGGCCAATTAATGAAGGCAATGTGTTCGCTTCCTTGAACCTGATTGAGTTCAATTCCCCTTCCCTTGTCAAAATAAATACGATTGGCATATGTGCATACTATTTACACAATAAGGGAAGGGATATAATAAAAACTTTACAATTGGAGGTCTGAAATTCTTGAGACAAGATCAAGTGGCAAAAAGTTCAATTATCGCAAACCCTAAGTTCCACAAAATTCTTTAGCTTCGTAATGTGGCGGTTTTTCTTTGACTCTACAACCGCGACACTTACCACGACAACAAAGAGGAACCTCTAGATGGGGCTAAACAGCTCCCAAGCCACGGCTTGCTCGGGGTTCAAGCCACCTTTAATGGCTCAAGCCGAGCTGGCCTCGTCGGCATTGACGAGCTGACCATCGAGGGAGACCTGTGCTGACCAGTCGGAATACAATGTCCTTAAATATTTTTTTGAACTTATTTGTAGTTAGATTACGGATTACTTAGAATTCTTTCTGCAAACACCATTTTGTTCATTGGGTACAACACACATTGACTTGCATCACGCTTCCCCCTTTCCCAAATCATATGGTTATTAAGGTATATAATGCATTTGGGAAAGTGAGAACCAAGATGGAAAAGAGATGCATTACAAGAACTCATGCGTAAGTGTCAAACTTAATATAGCCTCCATTTATTCTCTCCTCCAGACCATACCGGTTATGAAGTTAGTGAAAAACAACTCAATCAACTGGAAAACCACTTACATCATCCTCAAAGTTCTAGGAATAGCTTTCAAAGCCTGCAAGTAGTTCCTAGGACATTTCCTCAGACCCCGCAGCTGTACAAGAACAAGGAACAAAAAGTTCATGATCGGTTACGAACCACAAGAAGAAGTAATCCAAAGCGGGAATTATCATAATTCATAAAAGATAAAATCATCATCATCCCAGATGCATGAGAAAAATGACAGAAAAGACTGCATCAATTCAGCAAAGACAGGGAAAGGATTACTTACAATAACAAATAAAGGATTTAAATTTATTGAACTTAATCTTTCAGGATAGTTTAGAGATGCATTAGCAAGACCCTACAAAGAAGAAGTTATCCAAGAGTAATCATAGTTGCAGACTTACTATAGCTCTTTCAGCAACCAGATGTCGGGTTCAGGGTCCCTTCAATATCATTAGTTTATTCTTTTGCTACAGTAATCGGATTTTTTTTAATAAAAGATTAAGTTCCACAAAATAAATACTAATGCTGCACTACATCAGCATGCAATAAACTACTTTATTTAGAAGTAATCAAGTACATAAAGAAAAGCAAAAGTATCCTCACAAGTCACAACATATGAAAACATTAAAAGGATATCCCCTTCTCTTGGATCAAGGATCACGCTCAGAATAGACTTCTACTCTTCTCTGAGTACTACAGCTCCAATGAGGTAAGTTGGCTGTTGCCAACCACTGAAATCAGAATGCAGCTCGATAAACCATCAAGCAAACTTTAATCCATTGCATATTCGAAAAACCATCTTTTTTTCACAAGAAATCTTCTGGGTAAAAAAATACCAGCTGGTCTTTTGCAACAGAACTGTCGTCTTTTAAAGGCCTTGTAGTATCTTTGCAATTGTAAGAACAAGAAACCTCTTATTGCAAAAAAAAAAAAAAAAGGAAAAAGATACCCAATCTCAATAACATCTAGCCTTTTAAATACACCATTATGCAATTAAATAGTACAACAAACAACACAAATAATCAGGGAGACAGAGGAAGGGGGGGAGGGGGGGTGGGGTACATGCATTACAAACCAAATGGATGGGAATATAGATAACCCACAATTCTTGAGCCTTATCAGACATCACCTACTTTGATACCAATCAACCTATCATTAAGAGCAGTTAATTTACTTGCAAACTGCTTAAAAACAGTTACCTGGAAACACAACAAGAGCTAATGGAGCACCGCCCTGCAACAGAAGTATTAGTTTTAACAAATTCATTAAATATTTTAGCAACCCTTTTGCTGGAGCTAGAATAACTGATATTCAGAGGATTGGTACTAGAAATCTGTATTTCAATGAAATTCGACCTATGGAACATGGGTCAAACCCCTGTTCCACACATTGATTTGAAAACAATTAAAAGATGAGCTTCTATATCATTCAAAGATATGTAGTGTTAAACAGCTTTATAAGAAGTCTAGCATATGAATGCCAACAAGAATAAACTCAAGCAAATATTTCTTCTTGATAAGCAAATATAATGTTTAGAGGCATAAGCAGCAAAGTTAGTGAGTATCAGTTACCATTGAGTTGAGACGGCGCTTATCCTTCGTATCTGCAAACCGAAACATCTTCTACTTGCCACTTACGCAAAATTACAGCACATACCACACTTTCCAAGTCTCTCACTAATGTAAGCTATTATGTTCACCTTTTCTTTCTTTTTCTAATACGCTATTATGTTCAGTTTGTAACAAAAAAATCTTAAGTTTCAGTACCACAAAGAAAAAATCATTATCATAATCATAGTTTATCAGTTTCAGGATCCAATATGAGGCATGTTAGTTTAGGTTATTTGAACTTTGGCAAGAACACAGTCTAAGCATATATGATGATTGATATAATTAACCATCACATTTCACTCTACTTAAGCAGCACTTGTCTACATTGACAACTAGATAAGAAAATAACAATAAACAACAAATGGAGAAACAAATATGTAAAATGAATTTATGATTTAAACTATATAAACTACAACTACCAAAATTCATCATAGTTTTTGGTGTTCCCAACTTGAACAGGGTCAGGTCCAAGTAAAAATTCAAACAACATTGATCATAAGGCCTATTTGTTGTTGTACTCGAAGCTGGGCACGGGCGGGGCATCGAAGCTCTCCAAAATCTTGGTCTCGCTTCCGCTACTCTTAGCCTCAGGCTCCTTGCTCTTCCCGAACCACCCTCCAAGCCACCCTCCCGAACTAGCCTCAGCCCCGTTGCTGCTCACCGACGTTGCCGGCTCCGAGCCCGGCTGACCTGGAGCACGGCCCATAGGAGGAAGCCCAGGCAAACCGGCCACGCTCGCCGGCTCTTCAATCACAATAGGCATCTGCTGCTGCTGGCTCATGAACTTATTAAGCATGATCCCAGCTCCTTCGATCAGAGCCAGGAGGACCCCACCAAAGGCAGCCGATCGAGCAGAGGCGCCGAGGCCCTGTCGCATCTGGAGGAAGCCACCGGTGGCAGCGCCGGCGATGATAGAGTTCCAGGGATCCTCCTTTTGGCGGACATAGACCATGGTGCAGTCGAAGGCGGAGAAGAGGCCACCCCAGACGGCGAAGCTACCGCCGACTCTCGGCGCGTTCATGCGCACGGCTTGCGAGCCGCCGATGGGCCGAGGGCCGGCGGTTCTCGAGAGGTTTCTGGAGTTCCCATGTTTTGTGTGATGGGCGAGAGGGTTTTTCGCTTCTTTGAGGCTTTGTTCGTGTTTGCTTCTGGTTCTTCTAGGTTTTACTTTGGGGTGTTTTACGGAAATATCCCTCGTGAAATATTACGGGTTAATTCGGGTCGGGGTTTCTCTGTTGCGGGTGCATTTCTTCAGTGGTTGTGTTACTAATGAAAAAAAAAATCCTAGTAACTGGCCACAAGGAGTAGCCGGTCATGTGCTTTCTTACTTCCTCTTTGCTTTCTTTTCGATTCTATGGACATGGGCTCCTCGACAGGAAAAAAACTTGCCTGCACCGGGGATAGGACTACAGTCCTATCCCCGGTGCAGGTAAGTCTCTCTCCCTCGACAGGCTAATCAAGTAGGGAATATCGCTCTCTGCCAATCCAGTGGTCCCATATTTTTAATTCATGCTGTTAGTCTTTTTTCTTGTCAGATACTCTTTTCGCCGAATGTTGTGGCTGTCGTGCTTGGAAGAGTACAGAAGCTGCTGGACCGACACCAATGCCCCGATTGTATCTTTCTGGCTCATACAGAGGTGCTATCTCAATTTTCAACAAAATTGAAAGTTGAATCAGTTTGACAGAATCAAGCTTGGCCCTACAATGGGCTAAACTTCCGGACTCCTCCCGATTCATGAATATGCTTTGTAGGCGTGCCACTGTTGGGTATGGAACCAATCCAACAGACCTGGTATGAGCGAACGTGATGGGTGTTTTGTGAAGTTTGCGCCTTCTTTCTAGACTTCCGTGCTCCAAGTGGGGTATTGGCCTGGACTAGTTCTTTTCTGTGCCTCAGTTAAGAGGACTTCAACATTCTTTCTTTCGTGTATACGTCGGTCCTGGTTGATGCGAGCGACACCTAACCAAGCAAAGGAAAAGGACAGGGCTCTTGGTTAATAAACACCTCACATGGGTTTACAAACCTGAACCTGAATTTAAATAAGTATTTATAAACTGATCACAAATTCGGGCCCAACAATGTAACTTTCGGGCCCAATTGGTCTATATCCCTTAAACCTGTATGGCCTTATTCGGGCTAAAAACCTTTTATGATTTCGCAACTTAAACAAAACATAAGCGGGAAAACACCTAAATATCGCAGGTATGAAGAGAAGTGCATATACAAGCATAGTAGAGTGACTTAAAAGCAGGTTCCATCATTCTTATTTGTTTAGTTTTCAAATCAAAGGCAGAGATAATAAAGATCCATGTTTATTGATTTCGGATTATAAAATACATTATTACGATGATCTAAGGTTGTAGTCAGCTAGATTATACAAATTCAAATTGAACATTCTCAGGAAATAGTCATACCATGAAGATGGCAGAGAAATAAAAAGATAAACACAAGGGTCGTCTGGCTATCTGAGATCTGGGCGAGTTTGATTGAAAATATCTTGAGTGTTTTGTAAGACTTTGCGTCTGGTTTTTGGAGAGAGAGTCCCCTTCTTTTGTGCTGGAAGTTTTCTATTTATAGGTGCAGGGGAGATCTCAAGTGATGATGACTGAGCAAGGATGTTTGGCTGTTGTCCATTGGGGCTGAAGAGTCGATTTTCTAATGGGTGAAGTTGAGTCTCTGATCAGAATCCAACACCTCGTGGCTTCATTGAGATTGCTAGGAAGTGGGAAACCATCAAAACAGAAAAGCCAAGATAGTTTTATAGTCATACATCCGCCATTCCGATACTACGACGATGAGATATTGTGTCTGTAAACTGGTGTGACAATGGAGGGTTTGGTTATTGAATTACTTAATAAAATATATTGAAAACCCTAAAATAAAATAAAAATTAACTAAATTAAAATAAATGATGTGACATGTGACATGGATTGACATGTTGTATGCCACATCAGTTGGTATCACTAAATTGGTATATAAGTTGGTGCTCGTAGCATTATCGATTTACAACAAAATGCATTTTATATTAATTTTAATACCATTAATTCTTGAAAAACTGCTTAATTATCAATTGCTATATCAAAATAACTATCTTTTCTTCTAGTGGTGAGAGAAAAAAAGTTTGGTTTTGCTAAAATATGAATATGGTTTGAATACCTTAGGTTAATGTTATTCTTCTCTATAAGGAGATATATAGGAGTTTACAAGGGTGCCTTACAAGAAAATAGATACAGTAATTAATTAGGAGAATATCTCTTAATTATGCAAGGATGTGTCAACTATATGAAACAAGGAAGTAAATCCCCTAATTAACTTAGGAAATAAAGCTCCTTGATTTAGTAGGTTAACTCATGTCAACACTCCTCCTCAAGTTGGTGCGTACACATTACCAATGCCCAACTTGGTAAGTGAGTCATAAAACACTTGTCCACAGAGAGTTTTTGTCAAGATATCCGCTAACTGATCTTTTGATTTACAAAGAATATGCAGATGATCTTGTTCTCAATTTTTTCTTTGATGAAATCTATCCACCTCAACATGTTTTGTTTGATCATGTTGAACTGGATTATGAGCAATATCGATCGTTAACTTGTTATCACAATATAACTGCATGGGCTTCTCTAGTTTAAAACCCAATTCTGTCAAAAGTCCTCTGATCCACAATAATTCTCAAACTCCTTGGGCCATACCTCGATACTTTGCTTCTGCACTAGACCGAGCAATCTACATTTTGTTTTTTACTTCGCCAAGTGACTAGATTACCTCCAACGAAGGTAAAGTAACTCGATGTAAAGCGTCTATTTGTAATGGAACCAGCCCAATCAGCATCTGTATATCCAACAACTTTAAGATTTTCATTCTTTGAGAACATTAATCCCTTTTCAGAGGCTGACTTTAAGTATCTTAAGATCCGATCAACTGCATTCCTATGAGAAACACTGGGTGAATGCATGAACTAACTAACCACACTCATAACATATGCAATATCTGGTCTTGTGTGTGCCAAATATATCAACCTTCCAACAAAGTGTTGGTATTGTTTCTTATTAGTTGGCAAACGGTTCATGTCTTCACACAACTTGTGATTCATCACAATGAGTGTGTTAGTAGGCTTACATCATAGCATTCATGTTTCACTGAGTAGATCCATCACATACTTCCTTTGAGAAAAAAAAAATTACCAGTTTTTGACCTTGCTACTTCAATTCTGAGGAAGTATTTTAGAGCACCTAAATCCTTCATCTCAAATTCCTTAGACAAATACTTTTGTAGCTTCTGTTTCTCTCATGCGTCGTTCCCAATTACGACCATGTCATCCACATAAACAATTAATTCAGTGTTTTTTCCTCTATCATGCTTCAAGAACATGGTGTGGTCTAAATTACTTGGTGTGTATCCAAAATTCTTCATGGACTTAGTAAATCTTCCAAATCATGCCCTAAGAGATTTTTTTAACCCATATAATGACTTTCTGAGCTTGCAAACTTGATTTTTCTTGTCATAAGCTAAATTACATCATGATGGTGAATCCATATATACCGATTCTTCCAAGTCTCCATGTAAGAAGACGTTTTTAACATCGAACTGACGTAGTGGCTGATCGGTGCATATTTACATATCATTTTGTACCCTTCTAGCTTATGATTTGGTTATGTTTTTGAGTTAAACTTGTGCTTTTAATCCTTTTTGTGTTTATCTTTAAGTTCATTGAGCTTTAGGTAATAATGAGGACTTTGGATAGTAAATGATGCAATCCATGCATGTTAGGGCCTAATTTGGATGAATGGATGAAGAGCTTAAAGACAAACTCAATTTTGGCTACAGTCCCCTGCCAGCCCAGTTTCGTAGGTCATATTGCAAGCTTTGTTTCAGCAACCTACATAGCTCGGATGAGGCCACATTCTTCATGAAAGTTGTTCCAATGGGTGTGTAATATAACATATCCAAAATTCAGCCCCATTGGATAAATATGGAGTCTGTTACCTAGCAAACACAGAGCCATGCTCAGGATGGATTTTATCAGCGCGCAAAATGAGTTAGCAATTTGTTTTGGCCTTAACTTCCTCCTCCGACCTTGGATTGGCCCAAATGATATATGGCTGGAAAGAAGACATTCTGAACTTAAAGTTTGAGTGCTTAAAGTCTTAATTTGCTTAAGGAAAGCCCAATTCGTAAGCCCTTGAAGTTGCTGGTCATCCTGACCTCAGGATGAGCTATTATTTCTGGTTAGAAGCTTGGTCATGGTGACATGAAGATGAGCTAGGGCTGCTGGTGGGATTTATTAGTGAAGTGCATCAACCATTTCAGATTTTATAAAACAAAGTGTTGTATGCATTAGCCATACTTAATTCAGATTTTCAGCTTCCTTAGGCCTATATATAGTGAGGTTTCCCAAGCTTGTAAACACACCCCAAGGGGGGGAGCTCTCAAACACTTCTCTAGAGCTCCCTCCCCTTCTCTCCCTCAAATTCTCTTAATTTTGCTTTCTAGTTCTCAATTCTAGCTTTCCTTTTGCTTCTTAGTTGTAGTTTATTTTTCTTTGTAATGTAAATTCTTTTCTTAAGTTTTCAAGTTGAATTAGTTTCCAAGTTTCAACTATGGTTTTTGTTCTTATTCATTATGCTTATAAGTTAATATGCTAATTTGAATGATTGATCACCATTTAGGCTTGCATGGTAGCTATCTTGGTTTGAATTAAGAGTAGACACCATTTAGGCCCGTTACCCACCACCAATTCTCCCCTTTACAACTTGCCTTTGGGAGACAACCCAATATATCACATTTAAGGGTATTTGGTTGTGCAGTTTATGTGCCAATTGCACCCCCACAACGCACTAAAATGGGTCCTCAACGTCGATTGGGAATTTACATTGGTTTTGATTCACCAACTATCATTCGTTATCTCGAACCTATGACAGGAGATACTTTTACAGCACGTTTTGCGGACTGTCACTATGATGAGACATTCTTCCCGCCGTTAGGGGGAGAAAAGACCGTTCCTGAAGAACGGCGAGAATTGGGTTGGAACATATCCATTATGTCTCATCTTGACCCTCGT